GAGGGAGAGGTGTGGCAAGGATGCAGCCCGCAGCCGTGCCGGAACCCGCCTCAGCCTCCATCCCGCACCATTGTGCTGCGGGTCCGGCATTGTCTCGCCCTCCTCGCCGCGGCACGCGGTGCTGCAAATTGCTGCCTGCGGCGGAAGGAATTTTTCTGGGGCTGAATTTGATGCGTGGGGAGGCGCAGCCTGCGGTGGGCCTCGGTGAGATGGCACTGAGCTGGGCGCTGGCGCAGCTGAGCAGGAGCAGCTGCGATGGAACTCCCCCGGTTTATTTTCACTTGTGGAGCATCTTTGCCTATTCTGCGTGGCACAGGGTTTATTTCTGTGCAGGTTTTTTTGGAAACGTGCCTCTACGTGTCTCGGTGTCTCGGAGCTGGTGGGTTCGTGTGTGTGTGAGACCCGTGAGCTTCGCCCCTTTGGACGTGCAGCACATCTTTTTTTTGTTATAATTTGACAGCTGTTAGCTGATGAAACGCGCCAGTCCGGCTGATATGCAGTTTACTCTTAGATCATGGAATTGCTGCCCGTCAGCTTCATGATGGCTGCTTAGGACAGCATCATGCATTTGGGCTGGTTTATGGCACTGAACATTCATTCACTTGTAGGCTTTTTCTATTTTCTTTTCTGAATATACATATAAAAAAGATGCTGAGTATGTCCTGTAGGTTGGGAACATAGAGATGTGTATATTTTGAAAATGTAATTTGAAATCTTGTAAGGAAAAAAATAATGACGTGTTGTTAAAACCTTTGCATTCTGATCCTGCCCTGTGCATTACAGTAAGGTGACATGTTGGGATCTTAGTCTCAGTCTCTTTCATCTGTTGGGTCAAATTCTGCATGTGTGCATATACCGTGCCCTGCTTAGTAATCCGGGCTTTCTGTGCCCAGTCTCCTAGGCAGAGCATTTGATAACCTTGTCCTTGTCATACTTTGATGGTTTTTGACAATTTCTCTTCTTCCACTGGCCATTTCCAAGTATGTCTTATGAATGAGAGCCTCTCTGTCCTACTTAATAGGAAATGAACACAAAGTACAGCTGCATCGTGGTGGGGTGTTAAGGAGAAAGTTGGCTGCTGCCATTTGTAAATGTACGGTGGGGTCTGTGAGACGTTTTATTATCAAGTTGCTGGAAAGATGCTGCATAACTTCTCTGTCATTACAATGGATGAGTAACCCTTGTGTGTTCAAGTCAGGAAAATACTGTGAAACACAACTGTCAGAACGGTGCCGAGTAATTTTCAGTTTTGTTTTCTATTCATCCAGTTGATACTACTGATACTGTGGTTTAAAAATTGTATAATAGCCTCCCAACTTGTAAAAAAAGATATGGTAATGGATTCTACTGTCATAAGGCTGGTGTAGGTCAGGTGTTGAAATCCAAGTAGTTTGTAAATTACAACTTTTTTCTTTTTTACCTTCTTTTTAAATGAACTTTGGGACTGACCATGCTGTGAGCTCATTTTTCACTATTGAGTGGTGGTGGTTTTGCACTGTGGTCAGTATTTATGCTTTCTATTTTCTTTGTGAAGTTGTGAGACAGCAAAATAATCCTTCTCAGCTACCTGAAATTTGGATCACGTGGTCTGTCATGCTCCATATCTTCTGTGTTCAGCCAGATTTCTCTGCAAACCGTGTGCATCATGGCAGTGCAATATTTGGGTTACTGCAAAATAAATGGTTAAAGTAAAATAATTACTTCAATTGCTTTTATGATGGTATGTTTGCAGTGCATGTTTCTAAAGCAACTAGACTGCTCTAATTCCCAGACAGGAAGCTTTTCAAAGTTCCCATATAGGTCTGTATCACTTCAAGATCTGCTCTTGACTGGATTATAACGGTCATGTTTTCCCATCTTCAGAGACTGATTCTCTACTGCCTTCTTTTTAGTCATCATCTACATCTGTGCAGGGCATCAGTGCCACTCTGCCATCAGCTTTCAAGATCCGGAATCTTTATTACTTGTTTTTGTATCTTTAAGGTCTATTTGAATTTTTCCTTTAAAACATCAGGACTGAAAATCCTAAATTCCCCTCCTCCCCTCCAGTCTAATTTATTTGTTCCAGGAGTTGGGGATCTGTATAGAAAGTTTATCAGCATGTTGCTGACATCAAGTTGCAATGAGTGTATTTAGCAACTTTTTGGTAAATGACAGAAAAGCTGCAGATTGCATTGTGAAGTATCCGATGAACTTGAAAGGAAGAAATAGTGATATGCAAGTGCTTTTCTGAATGCAAGCTTTCAGTCTGGATCATGGTGGGTTGCTGACATACTGTGGCACATCCTGAAACCTGAAACAGGGCCTGTGTGGGTTTTTTCCTGGAAGATCATATTTGGACATTGCAGCCCCTTTCCTTCACTAATGTCTTAATAAAAGCAAAGTGAACTGAATTCTGTGCCCATCTGCTTAGCAGAGTTACATGAGAAAGAGGCAAATGAATGTAGAAAGTATTTCAGTACATGACTACCCTGTGAGAATACTCTCAGTGAACTGCGTAACAGCAGCCAACAAGTAAGGAGTACAACCAAAGAGCCAATATACCACAATTCTGTTTCTATCTTCAGATGAAATACAATTCTGTGATTAACAATAAAACAATCAGATTAAATTTATTTTTACAACGTACAGCAAAATGACTGATTTGAATTAGCTGATAGCCACTGATATCAGTAAATAAATTCAACTGTCCAACAAATGTGGAAATTAAAATTGAAAAGAAGAAATGCAGTTAAAACTTGCGTGGAGTGCCCAGGGTAGATGAAGGTAATCAATATTGAGTGAACAAATAAAGGTGGGAGAAACGGTAGTTGCAGGTTTTCTGAGCAGGTTTTTCTTCCATTAGCACTGGTTTGCTAAAATTCAGTAAGCAGACCTTCTTTTTAAATTGATGCATAAATATTTTTCATTATTCATTTGTGTAGTGTATGCAAAATCCATATAACTCTTAATGTTGCAGGTGTTTGAAATTAATTATAATCAGTACTCAATTGTTTTGTATGTGTTTGATGTAGGATTGGTGTACAAATAAGGTACTGAATAATATTCAAAAGACCTAGAATTGTGTTAATCCATAACAATTTATTACAGTTTAATGAACATAAATGCTTTTTTGTTCCTGAAGTTTCGTTATTAATAGAGAAATCTTTTTTTTTTTCACTATGCTTTTTTGTATTTAATATTCAAGGTTCTGTGAGCTGCTGTTTTCTGCCTATGTGTATCAATGAGGAGAAAAATGAGATGCAGTCACTTTTGCAGAATAAGCTCAGAGAATTTGCTGCAGTTTCATAGGATCCTTAGTAATATTCACTTTCCATCTCCCCTCCTTGAATAGAAATTATAATCAGTTATAATCACTTTCAGACAAACAAAGAGTGTTGGTAGACCATTGCACTTGAAGTACATGTAGTAATTTACAGCTGAAAGAACAATTGTGTGGATTACTATTTGGTAGCTTGTAACTGAATGAATGGTTGTATTAATTTGGAAATGCTTTAAGGAATTAAGCTGTAAGACAAGAGTGTGCCCAGTGCTTTAGAGGCACAACTAACAGTAAATTAGCATCCACGTATATTCAGTGGTAAGCATTACTAACTGAATGGACTGGGCTGTTTTTGCAAAGGTCTGTGTTAGCAGATCCTTCCGTATTGCTTTGTGTGTTTTTGTGGGTCACAGAATGACTGACAAGTTGCCTTTTCCTTGAAACATGTGGTCAGTGTCAGTGATCTGCGTGGTAACCTGTGTAGGATGAAGTCAATGAAGGTGTAAGCATTGTTCTTGAAAGCAGACTGTAGAGTTCTTGAGGGCTTGTAGACTGGTACATCTATCCTTCAACGTACAGTAGAAGAGTAAAAATCACAACGATCAGAAATGAAAAAGAGCAACTCTGGTAATACCGTATCCCTAAGTGAATAATCTGAGTGTTTCTAGTGAATTCTGTTTCTAACATTGTTATTTTTTAAAGGCTTTTCACTCAAAGATTTGTTGAAACGGATAAGAGGATGTTCACATACATATTCGCATTTCTGCTGAAAAGCTGATCTGAAGAGACAAACTGTAAAGCACGTTGGCTTGGATTTGGCCTGTGGTAATGGGAACATTCAGAGTCTTATCCCAGGCAACTTAAGTGAGATACAGGACATGGGAAGTTAGAAAGATAAGTTCATCAGGTTCTGAAGGGCACTGACAGTGATGCAGAGGGAGGAAAAAAAACCAACAGGATCGCAGAATCAGACATGTTTTGGAGTTATATTGAACTTACAATAAACTGTAGGAATGAAGTGATCTGGTCAGAAGCAAGATGTCCAAAGAAGGAAAAGTCATCAGATCTACAGTGTTAGAAGTAAAGAAGGGAGACTAGAACACAGAGTTTTCTTATTCACTCTGACATTTTATATAAATCCCCATTCATCAACTGCAGCAAGAATTTAGCTAAAGGTGGCAGAAGTTCTTACAGGCTAACTCTTCCACTTTTAATAGAAGTAGTATTTAAATATCTGACAGTCTTTAGTGGTGAACGTTTTGCTTTCTTGCTTATATGCATTTTGATTAAATAAAATTTGTATTTGCTGGCTTATTAAAATCAAAATCAAAGAAAGGAGGGCCTGATAATATAAATTGTGGAAACTGCAGTATTTATCTTTCAGGCTCCGTGTGTTTCTCTGATGGTGTTTGAGTGTGATCCTACTTACATAACATTCCTTTACAAAACAGCTTTCTTGGTAAACCATGAATGGGCCTAGAGTAACACTGGAAGTACAGGACCGCTGATCTGTTGTTCAGACCACCGCCTTGCAGTGAGCTGGACTGGCTGCTGGAGTTCATCCCTTTTCTGACAATTCTGCTGTTCTTAAATTGAACGTCTGTATGGGAACTGTTGAGAAAGGACCCGGTCAGCCCTGTGAGCACAGGTGAAGGCAGTTTACCTGTGTGATAGGAAGGGGTGGAGCCTGGCTGCACCTCTCTTAGACCTCATTTAAGGGCTGACTGCCACTGAGGAAGGATCTCTGGTTGGAGATCCCTCTTTGGTGGAGCTTTCCTCTGTGAGCCTGGAATCTCCTGATACGGGTAAGCAATCTTCCTCCCTTCCTTTATCACCTTTATAGCTGTGTGCTTCCTGGTGTGCTGATTTGTCCCGTTTTTACACCTCTGGTGAAGCACCTTTTCCCGTCATATTTATCTGTCTAATTGCTACCATGTCTAATCAGCATTCATGTATTTTTCACTCTTTGATTTCCCTTCAGGATAGGGAAGAATCTTCTATTTTTACTGATAGTGTTCTTGGTAAGCACTGTGTTATGGTAATTTCTAGGAAAAGAACTTTGTGAAAAGGAGACAGATGGTATTTTAGCCACAGAATACTAGAATATTGGTTTCATGTATCTTTCAGCTTTGCTGCAGATAACAATAATGCTTCTGTCCCCTTTTGACTGTTTCCATGGTGCTGCCAGCAACTTGGATAGAAATTTTTGGCTCAGTTTATAGAGCAAAGGCCAATGGTAGTTTTAGCAGCCTAGAAGCACCAGATTTGTGCTGTGTTCCTTGTGTGGAGCCTGAATCTGAGGGATATTTTGAGTTTAGTTCTGGAGGAATTTCAATGTTATTGAGAATTGCTGTGGTATTGATTAAATATGTAACTATTAGACTATGAATTTTGTTCTGTTAAAAGCTGAGTTGCTTCAGATCTTTTTCTGAAGAGCTGTTTGTCACCATTTGTTGGAGTAAAATATGTTAACTGCTAGCATGTGAAGTTTGCCATGTTCTACCTATAAAAAGAAGTATAAAATAGAATTGTGTGTAGGCATGCAAGCATTTATACTGAGTCTGATTTAAGATTTTGGATTTGCCTTGGGATGCTGAATTGTGATTTCATACAAAAATAACGCAGACCACTCTTCTAATCACAGTTTCCATTAATCATTTTTTCCATTGTGTGACATAATATGAAGAATGGAGTGCTATGGATTTCTTGAATACTGGAATCTATAGCCAGGATGCTTGGATCAAGAGTCAGGAAAAAACTGAGATGAGGGTGGGCTGACCTGTCTTGGCATCCTTCTCAGGTGGAGAGTAGGCTGAATTTGCATGTTAATTGTTTTCTCCACCTGAGTTGAAATACTGAAGGATAACCAGTTTAGGCTCAATAGCTTCTGTTTTTTCATACTGTTAGAAGCACCTCTCAGTGGAACGAATGTCACCTTTTCCTTTAGTGGAGCAAGGCTTTGGAAGTGTGTGAGACTTGTGGTGGCTACCATCTGCTGCCCTCAGAAAACAGAAAACTGGAGTATAACTGTAATTTAAGTATGACCCTTAGAGCAAGCTCTGATGGGGTGAGACCCTTCTGCTGTGAGGAAGAATAAAGCTCAGTTCTTCCAATTGCAACTTAAGATAAAAGCAACTTGTTCTTTGTTAAAGCAACTCACCTATGTGACGAGACCTCCTTAGTAAAACACATAAGAGCAAACATTATGCAGTCTAAGAATTCCCGTTATTCTCTCTGTTGTTTTAGGTGCTGTTATCCCCAGAAATTTCCTCCAGGGACTTGGTGTATTTCAGAGAATTCAGTGAGAGAATGGAAAGTTGATTCATCTGCTCTTCTACAGACAGTTGATCCCTTGAAATGGACAGAGGATATGAGTTATTGCTTGTAACAACATCCTTTTAAAAACATTTCTTCCTTTTTGGTAGAGACTTCTAAGAGAGGTGAATTTAGCTCTGAACTACTCGGAGTAATGAAACTTGATTGTAGTGCAGTGTTTCTTGCTGCCAGTGGAACTGATTACAATTAACAGGTCACTGAGCTAATACTTTTTAAATACGGCTGAATGATGACTGTCAGCTGTGTGGTGGTTGCTCATGTTTCCATTGGCCTTTCAAGCAGAGAGGAGTTGAGGCCTCGGAACCTGTTGTTACGTAGGTTGCTTTGAAAATTTTGCCTCCTATTTCATTTCATGGAAATGAAAACAGATCACAATAATGCTAATCGATAGGACAAATTCTTAGCTACAAAACATTGTTTTTCAACACAGTCACTGCAACTAGTTACACCTTTTCACCAGTGATGACCAGGAGCCTGCATGTCACGCTTGGCAGCGACTCGCTGTTTCACAGCTGCTGTGGTGGTGTCACGACAAGGAAAACATTGCCCACGCAGTCTGTCTTTCATTGGCTGCTCCTCTGTCATATGGCAACAAAATGTAATGCAGTAATGACAGGAAGGTTCAACATCTGCTGCATGCTGCCGCCACCTGCTTCTGGCACTGTGGGCCAGTGTCACAAAAGAGGAGTCCCTCATACTTTGCTTACTTCTTAGTGAGCTTCTCAGAATCAAGCTTACTATTATGGGAAATAAACAGTATGAAACACCATACTCTGTGGGGGGGGAGTTTATGAAATTCATAGGAATACAAACGCAACTCTGAACAGCAGACTAGTTTCAGTGAGACCACAAAATCAGAACCTAGCAGAGGAGTGGCCTGACTATAATTTGGGTGGCAGTGTCCTTTGTGAAGTTAGCATGCAGTGATTTTGTTACAAAAGGTACGTTTTGTGATAATACACATTAGAATCCAAGTTAACGAGGGTTTGCAGGCCTTTCACCCTGTTCAGTTATCCATGAAGGAAGCAAGTCCTCTTACAACTCTGCAGAACAGCTTGAGAGTAGCAGAGAATAGGCCGCTGTCTATTGAGATTTTTTTCTTTGCTGTAAAACACATTCTGTAGGACAACTACCTAACATCGGGTTTGGTATCTAAATCTTTACAAAGCTTAGAGCTTTGTGAGCCAAAACAACCTTTTGCTACAGATCTCATAACAGTTTTCTTAGTGTTTGGTTATAGGATCACCTGGTTTTGACACAGGGGTTTCGTGATCATTATGTAGTATTGTCAGCGGCTCTGGCCCAGGGTACAAAGGGAAGAGGCAGGGAGATGGGCCTGAAACAAAACAGCGGCAATGAACTGAGGGAGAAAACTAATTTAGTAAATGTGATAGTGGAATGTGAGATTACACAGTAAAATACAGTATCACTGGAATTGAAACTAATAAATCTAAATGAGAGAGAGTGTCCAAAAGCGAAGGCCTTACTCTAAAGCTGAAGGCAGATGGCTGGGGAGCACACACTGCAGAGATGAGCAGCGAAAGAAGGACCGTCTTGTGACTGGTGAGCAGTTCTGTCTTTCTGAACGGAAACAGAAAGGGCAATCTGCTGGGAATGCCAGCAGTCCTCGCAGCTGGTGCGTTGGCTTTCCAGTACTTGAAGGGAGCATATAAACAGGAGGGGGAAACGGCTGTTCACAAGGGTGGATGGTGATAGGACAAGGGGGAATGGCTTTAAACTGGGACAGGGGAGGTTTAGGTTGGATATGAAGAGGAAGTTTCTCACAGAGAGTGGTGAGGCACTGGAACAGGTTGCCCAAGGAGGCTGTGGATGCCCCATCCCTGCAGGCATCCAAGGCCAGGCTGGATGTGGCTCTGGGCAGCCTGGGCTGCTGGTTGGTGACCTGCACATAGCAGGGGGTTGGGACTGGGTGAGCACTGTGGACCTTTGCAACCCAGGCCATTCTGTGATTCTGTGACGAACCTTTTAACTCCCAGTCCACTACATGATGTTATGGTGTGGAATACCAATGACAAAAATCATAAAACCATGACAAGTATATTAATCAAAATAGCAATCTCAATAATTACATACTGATTTCATAATAGCAAAGCAATGCAATAAGGTGGTTTCAGTATTTCCCACATAGTAATAATAGTTTCCGTTTCTCTTCTGTTCTGAAGGAATATTCTTAATTTTCAGATTTTTCTATACTGCACATAAATTTTGAGAGATATTTTTCTTAACCAGCTCTAGACTTAGAGATTGCATTGAAATCTTCTTAGACTTGACCCCTTTACCCCCTCCCCCATCCTGCAGGAGTTCTAATTTTTTTTTTTAATGCTGAGAAGGGGAAGAGATTTTGAAGTTGCACAGAGGGGATTTGTCTTCCAGTATTAATCATGATCTGGTCTAGAATTTAATGTTCTCACTCTCAGAAGAGTAAATACAACTTTAGGGATAGTGACAGCCTGCTAGTTAATAGGTTGATATTATGAAGTTATATGGCTCTATGAATATCGTGATTTATTTTTCAAATAAGATTATTTTCATTACTGATGATACTGCAGTTTCAGAGAGAAACAGGGCAATAAATAATGTTACCCAAGAAAGTAAAGCATAAAGATGATAGATTTAGAATAATATAAGCCTAATGTTTCTCATTACTTTTGCTTTTAGCATTGTTGCAATATATTGTGTGTGTTTTACTGCGTTTCAGTAAATCTGATACCAGACTTCCACGTGGATTTTTAGTGCATAAAGAAATGAATGCTTATCTTTTGGTCAGTATTTTGTATTCTTAATTCTAGCTTACTCAGTACTTATGATGTCTTCTGCAAGTACTTAAAAATAACTTCTATTTCAGTGGAGCTATTACATGTGGAGGATCTGCTCAGTTTTTTTAACATGTGCAAACATGCAGAGATGTCCAAATTTCTGTTACCCTTCTGGTGGCTGGGTCTACTTCCTAATCAATCAAGAATACGTTTCTAACTCTTGTAGGCACATGGGCTGCTGGGAAGTCCTAGGAGAAGGATATTTGGCATGAAGTCATTTGTGCTATGCATGTTTGAGCTACATTAACCATTAAGGAATGCCAAGGAAGAGCAATGAATAGCTGCTAAGGCCATTTGTCTCTTTCTGTACAGGCAGATGTTTTTTTTTAGATAGCATATGTCACTTAGATCTCCTGGAGGATGCAGCCCACTAAAGAGACCATATATTTTCCTTTTTGTATTTAAAAGTTTGTGCGTGACAAGAACATTTATTGGCAAGTGGAGGCCATCTATGTATTTCACAACTGTGTGTGTAGTACTTACAAGATGTTCAGCAGATCTCCTATGTGACCAATAACAGCAATTTCCTCTGTGAAGGGTGGTTTTACACTAGTGGAGGTCTTGATTACTAAAAAGAAATGCAGATCTTAACATAGGCCCTTATTGTGCCAGAATAATTTGTGAGGGATGCACATAGACTTAAGGCGGAGATGCCACTTAAACAAAAAGAAATCTTCTCTGACCTCCTTGGCAAGTAGATCCTGCTGCTTCAGCAGAAAATCACAGTAGTATTGATCTGCAGTGAGAATCTGTGCTGCTACCTCTCCTTGTGCTGGAGTGCTGATGGAACCTAGCTCTTGCTGATCATCCATTTCACTCTTACAAACTGAAAGGTTTGTGCTCTGTCAGGAGTGCAGCTTCTGCCCACAGGACTTTGTGCCCAGCCCTTCTGTGCTCCAGCTCTGCCAGGGTTACAACGTGGGACCTCAATTTAGGAAGGACTCATTCTTCTGTTCCTAGGTTAAAAACTGCAGGTTTTTACTGCAGTAATGGTTTGCTGTGATTAATTTAAGAAATAATGGAAGCAAAAATCTAGCGCTTTATTAATAGTATAAAGAATGTGCTGAAAGAATGGCAAAGAACGTGAAAGTTACACTGATTACAGAGTTAGTTCTCTTCATTAATTATGAACCCACCTAAGTGAAATAATTATTACAGACTTACAAAGTCAGTCCCTTTCTTAAGCGGAGTAGCCAAAGTTACAAACCAAAAAAAGGGAGTGGAAGGGCTAGGAAAAAGAACCAGGAGGTTGTGCATTGTGGTCTCTTCTCTACCCATAAGATCACACTGTGTTCCAGAACAGCTTCCAGCTTGCATTGCATTACAGCAGGGTTTCTTAAGTGCTGCTGCAGACAGCCAGTCTCACCACAATGTGATCTGCAACATATATTCAATACATATTTCCACCCATTTTCCTCGAGCAGTCTGGAACAGATCTCAAGGGCCCAAACCTCAAAGAATTAAATTAATAAAGGACCCTCATTGCAGTCCCCCTACAGATCTGTATTCTTGGATCCCACAGCATACATTCTTCTTCTGAGGTAAAAGCAACTCTTTGTAAATCAGTAGGCATAACTCAAGCTAGAAAAGAGTATCAGTCTGTGTCAGACTGCATTCCAAGATTCTTAGAAGCAGCTTAGCCAGGAAGAAATTAGGCCACTTGAAGAGGCAAGATATGCTTGATAGATCTGACAGTGAGGGTTACGCTATGTGATAGATGCTGTTGCTGGAAGCTCAACCATGTTGAGTTTCTTTCCATTTTGTAAGTCTGTAAGTGCAGACTCAGACATGGCCAGAGAGTGACTTTGAAGACTCTGTGTGTGTGTGCTGAGCATGTTAAAGCAACCCTGAAGGTACTCGTTTGGTCTGCATATTGATGGGCAGGATACCTGCTGATGCAGGGAATGTTCCTATGGAGCAGGGATGCCTTCAAAATGTTCTAGATATACCAGCTCATCTGTGTTTTGGTGTGCTGTACACAAAGCTTCCCAATCTGCATATTTTACTGATGTGATTGTGTTTAAACTTACTGCATCAGTTTGGCTAAGGTTGGAATTTTCTTCAAAATTTGGCTGATGAAAACGGTTGATGGAGTCTTGTTTGCAGAAGGGCAAAGGAGACAAATTCTAGCCTTCCTGAGGGTTTTGCATATCTTTTTTTCTCTGCTTCTATGGAAACTCAGAACGGTGATGAGAATGTCAGTGCTTTTCTCTTGCTGTAGCAGTTTGTAGAATTGTTGTGTGAAAGCCTGAATATGGGAGGCTTGGAAGGTTGCAAGGGATTGGGAAGGGCAAGAGGAAGAGATTGTTGTTAGAACCTTCGGACTAAAATGCCTGATCCATCATGATCCCAAACTGTAAGGCTTGAATTAAATGACCATCCTCTCCAGTTCTGTAGTCTCAATAGCTTTAATCTTTATTGTAAACAAATTTGTATCTTCTTTGTATAGTGTGCTTTCATCAGAAAAGGGAAAGAGTACGTATGAAATCTCTACTACTATGTCAGACTTGCATGCGGAAGCCTGGTTTTGCTGGCATCTCCCTTGCGGGTTTTCAGACAAAGACTGCAGTGTTTTGAGAAATGAGCTATCCTGTGTTCTGTAACCATGTGAACTGTCATGCTGCAATATCCACCGACAAGTAATAGTATGTCTTATTTCTTGCAGGGCTTCCGAAGCAGCTGAGGACAGAACCATAAGGAATGCCACGCAGTAAGTGCTAAACAAACTGGCACAGAAAGGATCAAAAAAGATGGCAGTCTGTATTTGAAATAATTAAACATACGGACTCTCACTGATAAGAAATCATGTCAAAAAAAGGACGTAGCAAGGGCGAGAAGCCTGAGGCACTAATTGTAGCCCTACAGGCTGCCAACGAGGAACTCAGGACCAAGCTAACAGACATTCAAATTGAGCTGCATCAGGAGAAATCTAAGGTGAGTGAGGGTTTGGTTTTATAGAAGTGTCTGCACTGAAGGAGAGAAATGTGGGAAAGAACAGAAATCAAGAGATGCAACAAAACTCTTCTCTTGAACAACAGTGTGATGTCTTGTTCCTTCACTGGAAAAGATTTCTTTTTACTGAGGTACAAATTTAAGAAGCCTCTGGCCTTATAGTGAAGCAGTATGCCTTTTGTAACATGTTTGCCCATGTTCCAAATAGTGATTTTCATCCTATCCGCTCAAATTGTTCCTAAGTATACTGTTTAAAAAAAAAAAAAAATCCAGTGTCTAGAAGTTGTGTAGTGTTGCTGTTTTTTGAATGACTGCTTATTTCAGTAAGATATATCTCTATTTCAAAGTTGAGTGAAGTAGTCCTTAAGTATACAGCATGAAAGTCCATATGGACCTTTGTAATCCTTCTGCAGTACAGTCCAACTCTGTCATGTACATTAAGGTATGTATGCATTGTTTCAGGCTTGTTAGGTACCAGTGATCTGCCAGCATTTCAGTTTGATATCTAAACTTGCTTAAAAATCAGCTGAGTATCATGTGTATAGGTGCACATATGATTATGCTGTGAAAGTGCTCAGTGGACTGTAGTTGGGCTTAGATATACATTAGTGCAAAGGTACTGACAGCTGCTCTGTAACTTTGATTCCAAAAACATGGACAAAGAACTTAAAAGTTGTCTTTAATAAAGAGCAACAAAGAACAACCCTAAGTAAAGCCAGCTATTCCATCAGTGTAATGACCAGTGAAGCACACTTTTTCTTTAGTTTCATGTCCAAGAGCTGACTACCTTAAAGTTTTGCTTATGATTAAGAACATCTACAAAAGACTAGATGTTTTCTGGATGTTCAGATTTGCAGCACACACTTTCATCTAATTTCCTACAGTCATGAATCACATGAAGTCTGTATGAATCTTGCTATTGCCAAGCCTTCTACTTTTCTGAGGAATTTGGCTGAAATCGACAGTTGAGTTAGAAAGTTGTTAGTCAAATGTCTATACAAGGACTTGCTTCCTAAGGAAAAACTGAAGTATTTATTTTCGGTAAAGACACTAAGTGAGGACTTCAGGAGTTGGCCCATACTTTGTTGGAGGAGGATGGAGGAACAGCGAGGGTCTTCAGGAAGCCCTTCCTTATTCTGACAGGGCTGTGTGTCTGAGTGACCTTGTTTTGGTAGCAGTATCTTGGTAGTAGGTGACTTTCATTTTGTTTCAATTTAGATTGCTAAACTTGAAAGAGAGAAGACTCAAGAAACAAAGCGTATCCGTGAAGTGGAGCAGCGCAAGCAAACTGTGCAAATCACAGAGCTAAAAGCCAAACTCCATGAGGAGAAAATGAAGGAGCTGCAGGCTGTAAGGGAGAACCTCATCAAACAACATGAGCAGGAGATGACACGAATGGTGAAAGTCCGAGACAGTGAAATCCAGCGTCTCAAGTCAGCGTTGTGTGCACTGCGGGATGGCAGCAGCGATAAAGTAAGGACAGCCCTGACTATTGAGGCTCGTGAAGAGGCCAGGAAACAGTTTGACTCTGAGCGCCTTAAGCTTCTGCAGGAAATTACTGAACTTAAGTCTGCCAAAAAGCAGGTAGATGAGGCCTTGAACAATATGATCCAAGCTGACAAGATCAAAGCAGGTGATCTTCGAAGTGAGCACCAGTCCCACCAGGAAGCCATTTCTAAGATCAAATGGGAGAGCGAGAGGGATATTCGCCGCCTGGTTAGTAACTCTTCCCTGCACTGAAACATTTCATGTGTTGTCTTATGCTGTAGTGAGTTTGTCTCCTGTGCTTTTCAATTTTTTGGTGAATCTTAGAACTCTGCAAAGGAGCTCAGTCTGAAGAAGTAACAAAAACCTCACGTTGCTGTATCTCTGTGCTAGAGCAACCACTGGGTGGGCAGCTAATACCACAGAATAATGGTGATTGATGCATTCCATCAAAAATTGGCTTGCCAAGATCCTAATATATCTACCATGCAAAGTATTAGAAAATGTTTACATCTGCACTTGAAGTTATTAGTTTCTTTAACCCTTATGTTGGTGTTTTACACACATCAAACCATGGCAAGATAGAGACATTTTGCTTTGATCTTGCTATAGCATTCAGTGAATTCATACTAATGGGAATGGGTAAAAAAGAGGCCTATACCAGTAGTAGTGCAAGTGGCTGTGTTTTTTGTAAAGCTAGGGAACTGGGCCTGCTTGCAACATTGAAAAATTTGGCATGAAAACTGACAGTTCAGTAGAAAAAACTGATTTAAATAGCATCAGGAATGGTATTTTTGAGTTAAAGCATTGTAGTTGAACACTGATAGGCAACTGTGCACCCCACACTCACACATTCACCTCTCCTCCACTCCCACAATGGAGGTGTAGAAATAATCATATAGTAACAAGTTATTAAAAAACGTTGATTGAAATAAGGAGAGTTTAAGAAGTAAGAGAGGAAAGGATGAAAAAAATCCTAAAAACCAAGAAGAAGAAATGCAAATGATGCAAAACACAGTCGCTCACCTCTGGCTGACCAATGCCCATTCAGTCACTGGGACATGGCAGCCCCAGCTTAGTCTTCCTAGTTTTACTGTTGAGCACGATGTCAGTATGGTATGGATATCCCTTTGTCCAGTTTGAGTCAGCTGTCCTGGCTGTGTCCCATTCCATTTTGCGCATTGCATCATGCTCAGTTTTGCTTTGTGTAAGGCTATCAAAGCTGTTACTGCAGTGGTGTACAGTGTGGCTGACACCTTGGAGTATATTCTTTTCAAGCCTGTGTGGTATGACATAGCAGATTTAAGTGGTGAACACTAGTAAATCCTATTGTACTATGTTCACCAAGGCTGAAGTACTTCTGTTTTTACACACTAACATTGTTGCTCTTGTGCTCCTCTCATCAGATGGACGAGATCAAGGCTAAAGATAGGATCATATTTTCCTTGGAGAAAGAACTGGAGACACAGACGGGCTACGTGCAGAAGCTGCAGCTGCAGAAAGAAGCTCTGGATGAACAGCTTTTCCTGGTGAAGGAGGCAGAGTGTAACATGAGCAGTCCCAAGAGGGAGATCCCAGGAAGGGCCGGGGATGGCTCTGAGCACTGCAGCAGCCCTGTATGCAGGTTTTACTGACTTCTACACAACATTTCTCTTGCTTAAATGTTGTTTTGGCTCCTGGGAAAACTTTAAAAAAATCAGTACTGCTTTGAAAATATTGATCAATGAACATAATTGTCCAGATAACCTGCATCCTCAAAAACAAAGAGAAATTGGGAAGACAGGCAGAGAGAAGGCTGTGGGGAACCTAAGATTTGAGAGCACCTCCTGTTTCTCTGTCTTGCTTTATGTGTGTGCAGCTATTACTATCATTCACAAGTGTAGCAGATATGTAAAGTCATGGCCTGAAACAGTAATGGAGCATGTGGTGGGAAGGCAGGGCCAACCCAGGGGAGCTCAGGTGTATGCAGTGTACCTGATTGAGTGGAAGGGGTGGAACCAAGATTCACCCCTTCCCGTATCTCATTTAAGGGTTGGCAGTGGAGGTGAGGGGATCTCGCTAGAGATCCCTGTTCATGTTCCAAAGATAAGCAGCCTTTTCCTTCTTTTTTTTGTCTCTATTGTTGTGGTATTTGTTCTTGTCCTTGTTTGCTGCAGCTGAAGTCTTTACCACCCTGCTATTCTTCATTTTCCATCATGTTACAGCATTACAAGGCATGCAGCTCCTTGTGACTAAACACAGTATTTACCCAACAAGTGTGTATGCATACATGTTTTTACATATACATGATTGAAGAAGATGGTGAAGGCAATTGATACTGAAAGGGGTGTCCTTACTTTTTCACCTGACTTAGTGGCTCAGTGAATACAAGCAATGTATAGGGAATATCAATTGAAACTAGAATATTTCAGCTTTGGGTTTTTTTCCCTGTAATAATAGTTTAAAAAAAAAAAAAAGCATCAGGATCTCTTTATTTTTTAGCAAGTAAAATTTCTTTAATCTTAAAATTTTCCCAAAACTAGATGTTGTCTTCTCCCAAAAACACATTTTTGCCAAAATGTGTATTGTTCTAAAAACAAATAACAAGTACAGTTTGTTGATTATGTTAAGTTGACTGGTATGTAGCTTTGGGTGATTCTTTCCCCAGTTGTGTTTTGAAGAATCAGTAATTGTTATGTTGTTACTGATGAACAGGACTTGCGCAGGAACCAGAAGAGGATAGCTGAGTTGAATGCAACAATCCGGAAACTGGAAGACAGGAACACACTGTTGGTTGATGAACGAAATGAACTGGTATGTGAGCTTTGCACACAGGGCCAGGAAGGGAAGACAAAGAGAGGAGTTTCCAAGCATGTGATAAATGTGCTTTTTCTATCCATTGGGTTTGTCTCCTTGGGTGCTTAGGGTGGCTTTTCGCTCCAGAATTACTGAGCAATCTCAGTGTAGTTATATCAGGATGAAAATCACAACAGAAGAGTCTTGTTGGTTTCTATGTGACTGTTTGTGTTCCTTTCTTGACCTTCTCAAGAGTTTAGGACTATACAACAGTATGTGGTGACGTAAATCACATGATGCTTATAGTCCTATACTTGAGAAGAGACAAGAATCAGCTATAGATATCAATTTACTGTTATCCATTCTTTCTGTGTCTGATTTACCCTTAGGTGGTGATTTGATCACTCAGTGTTTTTACTTCCATGATTAAGAACTAGAGTACTGAAATTCAACTCTTGATATCTTATTTTGTTCTTCAGATAGGAGTCCTGGTGCACTCCTTTCATATCAGTGTGGCTGGCTTGATTCTCTTCAATGTTTTTAATTTAATATTTTCAAAATGATAACAAGTTCGTAGTAACAGTAGAAATGTGTTCACACGCCTCTCTTCAATTAGGAAAAGCTCTCAGATTTCTGCAATACTGAATAGTTTGTAGCTGTCTCATGCCATTAAATCTTCAGCCTATTTTTTTTCACAGAAAAAAAACCAAAAAAAAAAAAGGTTTCAAAATTATATCTTGCATAATGTGACTATAATAATACATGTTAAATGTGGGCAGGAACTGTTGGAAATACCATGTTGTATGGTAACAGCCTGAGCCACTGATTGAGCACATGGGGAAAGGTCCTGTCAGCACTGGGAGCACAGGTGAAGGCAGTCTACCTGTGTGACAGGAAGGGATGCAGCCTGGCTGCACCTCTCTTAGACTTCACTTAAGGGCTGACTGCTACTGGGGAAGGATCTCTGGTTGGAAATCCCTCCCTTGTGGAGTCTGTCCTGTGAGCCTAGATCTTTGGAGACAGTGAGCACCTTTCCTTTGTAACGTGGTTCCATCTGCGCTGGTCCCTTTGCTCTTCTGCTCCTGTATCCCCTTCCACCACGTTAATCTTTCAGATTGTAGCACATGTGCTTTGAGATACAATCCGACCGGCAATAGCTTTCTTCATTCGTAGGGTAAGACAGGTAGTTTTGCCAGCAGCAATGCTGTTGGGAGATGTAACCACCTCCTACCAGCTCCTCCCCTTCCTGTTAGCAGAAGGGATCTTCAGGCACTTGCTAGCTTGCTTCAAGCAAAATCAATGGGTAAGATGATGTGATGATATAAGGAAATGTGCTTCACTGTCCTTAACAGCTACAGGGAACTCTCAGATTTTTCTAGGGCAGAACTGCATCAGGCAGGAACTTCCTAGTGATGAATGGTAACACAGAGCTTATTCATGCATTCATTAAGTAGATAATCTGGGCACACATTATCTTCTTATACTTCCTTAGGAAAAGAAATGTTGTGTATTAATGCTGGGTTTTACCGGATGGAGCTAATTTTGTGGAGAAAAAGAACTTGGTTAAGATTTTAGCTGTACTAATACTGGGATTTCCAAAGATGCCATAAGATACTTTGATTAATTTGTTGTTTAAATGACATTTAGTCAATATTTGTTGATTAAAACATTGTGCATATGCATAAGTTCCTATGTAAGTCTGTCTTCTGATGAGAAAGTCTATAGTTTCTTGAAGATAAAACACAGGTCTTGGTTTCGTTTACAGTTCTTGCAGCAGCTTTGTAGTTGTCTGATGGTGTGTCAGGTTGCTTCATCTCTATAAATGAGTTTTCCTATAGATAGAACTATTAGTAAAAACATAAGCATTGTTAGGACAGCTTTGGCAGTTCCAGTAGATCACTTTGCTTGGCGTTTTAGTGTGATGGTAGTTCTACAGGGAAGAAATATTTCTCACAAAAGAAAACTATATCTTTTATTTGGATTACTTACCATTATTAATTGCTATAAATCAATTGTTATCAATTCAGCTGAAGCGTGTCCGAGAAGCTGAAAAACAATGTAAACCTCTCCTGGAAAAGAACAAGTGCCTCACAAAGAGAAATGATGAACTGATGCAGTCTTTGCAGCGCATAGAAGATAAGCTCAAAGCAGTCACTAAAGAAAACATAGAAATGGTCAGTATTGAAGAGAAAATTGCATATTACTGCATGATATGTTTTCTGGTGGAAACGTTTGCACAGTGAATGTGTGTGCGTATGTGAGTGTGTGTAATACTACTGACAAGATACAGCAATGCTTAGGTTTGTAAATAGTAGTCTTACATAACGTTGTCTATTATGCTCGTGTGCAATATTTTTGAGTGAATGCATAAAATCAGTCTTTAATATCCCAAAAATTGTATTTGAGTCTTAATTTAAAAAAAAGTTGTATTGAGTCATGTTCTACTCTGCCATTTTGCATCTGAAAACCACGAAAGAAGCTGATATTTATCTTTGAATGTGTGTGTTCCTGTTAGAGATGATGATGATGGCAAAGTAAAGTTGTGATCTGCCCCGAGCATGTATAATTACCATAAAACATATACATGGTAAACGGATACAGGAAAGAGAATGGTGGTGTGCTTGCTAGGTTTATGAATTTCATGTATCAGGCTTTATGAGGTGGAGTTAAAGCAGCTATGTCCATAGAGCTTTCAAGTGGTCTTTAGCATTAGTCAGAATCCACGTGCATTGATTTTGCTTTCTCATTAATTAAAGAGGAAGTGTGAGTCGAGTTACCAGATGTAAACTGGCAGGCTTGCTCCTAAGTGTCTTTGCATCTCTTGCCTCTCACAGTAGTCAAGGTCTTCATCTTGAGCAGACTGACAGTTCTGCAATGGATGCAGCTCTCCTGCTGATCAGGATGAGACTATCAGATTCACAGGAAGAAAGAAAAAGGTTTTAGTGCTACAAGGTTAACCAATTTTAAGACTTTGCAATTCACCCATGCCCAGAAGACAGATTCACTTATTGTAGGCATCACAAGTTATAATTCTTTTTCCACGGCAGTTGCAGATGGCAAATCACAGCCCCTTGGCCTCTCTCACAGCAAGCAGAAGAGACTTGAGCGTGATCATGCATTAGATGTCAGTGGACAGCACCACCAGTGCACATGGCAACTTAGCTCCACTATCAAGAGTTGACATCTGTTCTTGGTAGTGTAGATGCACAAATCATGCAAGTCAGCAGGCTGTTGGTTGGTTGGAATAATAATCTTGGGCTATGGGTGTTTCCTCTTCCACGTGCTCGGAGCAGGCAGCACACAGTGTTCTAGTTAAAATAGTTATGTTGCCCCATTATTTTTCCTTCCTCTTCTTTTGGCAGGAATCACAAAACTAAAATGTCCAGTTGCTCACTGTATATGGTCAGTTGAGGGGTATTAGCAAATGCATGGGGACATGGGAGCATGGGATATCCCCTGGACACGTAGGGGATAAATCTATTTGCCATGTGGTGGGCCTCTGAAAGCATTGACCTTTAAGGGCTGCTGTAGAGGCTAGATTACCACAAAATAAATAGAGATAAATCTTTACTGTTCTGCTTGAAGAAGTCAGCCTTTCTGTGCTGCTTTGTTGTTGCAAACTGCTTGTGGGTTATAAAACTTGTATAGCTAATATTATGAATTATAAAATTACAAGTTATACAAACTATGTAGCAGAAACATATTAATATGACAGTACATTCTAAATGAAAAACTATGGTTAATTTATAACTGAATGTTTGTCTTTTTTGTTTAATTGCTAGATGTTATTTTATCTGTCTTCTTACCACAGAGAGAAAAAATGACATCGCATCCTCCACTAAAGAAACTAAAATCTCTCAATGACCTGGATCAGGCTAATGAAGAACAAGAAACAGAATTTTTAAAGCTTCAGGTCATAGAACAACAGAACATAATTGATGAGTTAACAAGGGTATGTCCAGAACACCAGGAAATTAGCAGCAATTCCTGTACAAAGTTAATTACCATGAGTATTTCATATTACAAATAGAGTTCTGAGGTTTCATATTTTCCTTGCTCTTAACACCTGTGTAGTTTTAGATGTCAGAGTGTGTTGGTGTGGGTTATTAACTGCCTTTTTAATGGGGGTGTTGTCCCTGCAACTTGAAGATGTGACACTTACATGTGAACTGAGCTGCAGAAATGAACAGACAGTGAACAGTGGAGCTCAGGAACATACACACACGTTCGCAAGGCAGGGCTCTGACAAGCTGACATATGAGGTAACCATGCTGCTATTAAAATGTTCTTGGAGAAGAAAAATGCACACAATGCAGTGCCCTTTGCGTGCTGGAAAAGAGCGTGGTTCTTGATGTGGTTCTCTAGTTCTTCTGTCATATCCTTTAATACTGGCATCCCTTTTTCAGATGACTTTGCATTTTGTTGAGGGGAAGGAGAAAGATACTCCAAAGCAGGCTGTTTCTTCTCTTAAGGCATCATTGCTAGAAGTGGTGAAATCAACACTTGTATCTTTTAGTAACTCTGAAACAGAGGAGGCACCACCTTTGCAGTGAAGGCAGTCTGCCTCCCATGATGAACACGAATGGGTGCCCTGCGAAAGTCTCCTGGTGACTTTAACAGGAAATCGATCAGTGTCTGTTGTCTGACAGCCTGCCAAGGCAGCTACACAACAGCAGGGGCTGCTTTTCTGCTATTCCCTCTTCCCTTCAAGTGATTTTCAGCTGACAGACAGTTCTAGGTATGAATCTTCCCTTCTACCTGGAATCACATTGCTTCTGAAAAATATTGCAGTCAGTGGAAAAGCAATGATTTATCTTATCTGTAGGTCTGACATTTTGGGGCTGCAAACAAAAGAAGATAGAGGTAAAAATTTTGAGTCCAATAACTTTTCAATCTCACTTTCCAGGACAGGGAAAAACTCATTCGTCGCAGAAGGAGTAAAAGGAGTTCAAAGCCAATTAAGGTAAGAGGCAAAGTCATGAATTAAAAAAAGATGAGATATGCAAAAGTTTATTGGCATCTTCTGTTATTTTTTTTTGTTGGATTCAGATTCCATGTTTAGAAGGTTGTAATCTGTCAGCAAAAGTGAACAGTGTTGTAAAGCAAATGTGGATCTTTAAATTTTTGATCAGTTGGCAGCATGCTTATTCATAACCTAAGTTTTTAAATGCTCACCTCTGTACACTGAAACGTAATCCTGCATGTCAAGTACCTCAGCTTTCATAGGATATGACTCAGTCCTCATTTGGATTGGTGAATTCAATTACTGGAGATAGTGAGACAGAGCCAAACTGTGTACTGTATGTATGGTGGTTACTGTAAGAGTGGAAAGATGTGTGGGATGAGTGTCACATTAAAAAAAAAAAAAAAAAAACCTAAAACATAACACTAGTTTTGTGCTAATGTAGTACTTACTCATTTACTTGAGCAGCAGTATCAGTAGGAGAAGTACTGAGATATTCAAAATATCAGCAGTATCCCTAAGAGAAGGACATTTCCTTCACGGCATTATTGTCTCACCTCAGTCTGTTCAGAAGACATCTGTCAACATGCAGCTTCTTTTTCTGTACAGCTTCTATTATGTTTTCTGAGCTTCAGGCTAAGCCAGATCCTCAGTTTAGTAATATGAATCAGTAGATCATTCTCCACCAGCACAAGACCTAATCTTCAATATGGTTCCCTTTGGATTTGGTTGGAGGTGGTAATTGAAGGGGTAGCATATAGCTCTTTCTTTCCAGTCTTGCCTTTTACTGGTAATGGGGCTTGAAATTAATCTTTCTCCAAATTAGAAACTCATACTGGCCATTTCTAGGCAGATTCAGAAATCATGTTTTTCCTTCTTTAGAGACACGTGATAGACACAGTTTTGGGGTATGATGATGATTCCATGGACTCTGAAACATCCTCAGTGGCCTCATATAGAACAGACAGAACACCAGCAACTCCAGATGATGATCTGGATGAGGTAAGATCTGACTCAATTTCCATAGGCAAGGACAAATTTTCAAATGATTTTGACTTCCAAAGCAAGTGACCCAGGTTTTATTGCTCCATATTGGATGGCAAGTTCTTCATTAAATTTGGCCTCATTTTCATATGCTCAAATACTGAGAAGTTCTCTCAAAGTGTAGTCCGTAGAGTCTACAGCTATGACTTCATTGCAATCTGAGGTGACTTTTTTCCTCTCATCTCCCAAGAAAATGAACTTGTCACACTTCTTTTAGCTTAAAGACATAATTCTATTAATTCTACATCCTTATTACTTCTCATTACAGCAGGATCACCATAAAAGCTGTTTTAAATCAAGATCTGTAAACCAACTAATGTGTTTAATACCTTACACTTGCCTTCTTTGCTTTGGCAGTGCTGTGCTGTCTAGTGCTTAGGCGTGTCCTTTCTCTTTCCTCAGAGTTTAGCTGCAGAAGAATCAGAGCTGCGGTTTCGACAGTTGACAAAGGAATATCAGGCCCTGCAGAGAGCTTATGCACTACTGCAAGAGCAAACAGGAGGCGTCATAGATGCTGAAAGAGAAGCCAAGGTCAGTAACAGTCTGAGAGGCAAAGCATTTCATTACTATCGCAACGTTTTGATTTCTCAGAGTGATGCGCAAGGAAATGGAGATAAACATTCACGTACATCTATCTGTTGCATTTCACTCATTGGCAAGTGTATTTCAAGAGAGTGATGACTGAAGATGGACGCAATTGCTTTGTTTACAAGGGTCTGTTCTCTGGCTGTTTCAAACCCCTGCATTTAGGTAGACACGTCAAAGCAGACACTTCTGTAGTTTGGAACAGAGTCACAAGAATGGTCTCCTGTTTTGTCCAGGTGTGAAGGGGTTGGATTTGTATGTGTGAATGGAGGTCTGTGCTTTTCCATAAAGGCATAAATTGCACCAACTTTAGGAATATCCGCCTAAATGTTTCTAACAAAGATACACAGATTACATTCAAATTTGAATGCGATGCAGATTATGGTAAAACGTCCAAGGCTAAAAGTATTCTCCATCTAATAAAACTGTAGAATAATTCAGGCTGGAAGCAACTTCAGGTGAACTCCAGTCCATCATCTAACTCAAAGAAGTGTCAGATGTAGTAGTACCAGGTTTTTTTTTTTTTTTTTTTTTTGCCACTTTCAAGTCATTTCTTAAAGACCTCTTAGTTCTGATCACTTTTTTTCCTACTACCCTTTGCCAGTCTCATTTACTAATCACTTTTATTCAATTCAGGGACTGTCCCTGTAGTAGAAATGCTAAATCATGGCTTGAAATGGTGTTTGGGCACCTGATGGGAAGGCAGGGCTAGTCCAGGGGAGCTCAGGTGCAAGCAGTGTATCTGAGTGACTGCTAGGGGTGGAGCTGGGGTCCACCCCTTCCCAGACCTCATTTAAGAGTTGGCAGTGGAGGTGAGCACATCTCTTGCTGGAGATTGCTGCCTACCTGAGGCCTTTCCAATGTAAGCAGCTTTTTCCCTTTTTTTTCTGCGTCTGTGGCTGCTGCATTTGGGCTTGTTTGACTTCAACAGGCTCAGGAGCAGCTCCAAGCAGAAGTCCAGAGATACAAAGCCAAAATAGAAGATTTGGAAAAAACTTTAGCACAAAAAGGACAGGTAAGCACCTCTTGTGTATTTTGTTTTTTGTTTTGTATCTTCACTCTATTTAGAATATACCTAGCACAATTTCATTATAGACTTATTCCCCATGTTTATGTGTAATAAGCAGGCAGGTATAGAGTGCTTAGGAGTCTTGCTAAAGCTTGCTAGACTAATATGCTGTTGTTTTGTAATCCATGATCTGTTTATGTAGGATTTTAAAACCTGAGTATTGTGGTTCCAACTTTCAGTAAAAACACCCAGCCTTGTGAGGTTTGATTATTCTGTAACAGAACTTCTTCATCCAACAGGACTCCCATTGGGTGGAAGACAAACAGCTTTTCATTAAGAGGAACCAAGAGCTTTTAGACAAGGTATGTTCCTGAGTTCTGCATGTCTGGAGAAGAGGAGGCTCAGGGGGAGGTTATCTCATTGCTCTCTACGACTACCTGAAGGAAGGTTGTGGTGAGGTTGGGGTCAGCCTCTTCTACCATGTAATTAGTGATAGGGATAGAGGAAATGGCCTCAAGCTGTGCGGGGGCATATTGAGGTTAAGATGTTAGGAAATGGTCCTTCTCCAGTAGGCTGATCAGGTGCTGCAACGGGCTGTCCAGGGAGTTACTGACTCTGGGAGTGTGCAAGAAATGTTTAGATGTTGGACTGAGGGACGTGGTTTAGTGGGAAATATTGGTGATAGGTGGATGGTTGGACTTGGATGATTGTGGAGGTCTTATCCAACCTTAGTGATGATTGTGTTTACTCTGAAGGGTATTCTTGATCCTAAAATACACCTTTGGATGTTTACTCTAGTGTTTACAAAAATAGTGTATGGATAGCATAGTGTATTTAAATATGGACAGGATATACAGAGTAATGTAGGTAGATATGGCCTCTCCAGCACTGATCAGGCAGTGTTGGTAGTAGTTCTTGATGATCCTAGCCTAAGACCTGGAAGTTCTGCTTAGGATTATGGCTCTACTGTTAACATTATACTGTTGCAGCATTGTATTGAAGAGTTTGCTGATGCTGCCTCAGCAGAACAATCAGAGCTGAGCTTCTTAATATGAAATGGCAGCAGAAATGAAGTCATCCTCTAACATCAGGACTTTTGTACTCCTGGTCTCAGTATAGTCTGTATGTTTTTTGGGGGCTTGAGTCACCCCTTGGTCCTGTGGAACTTGAACTGTGCTTTTACTTGGTGCATTTAAGTGTGCATATGTATATCTATATATTTGTATGTATGCATTTTTAGTCATAAGCCCATGAAGGACCTTAGTGTTGCTTGTATATTACCAACAGTTACAGCAGTGGCTGTAAATGACTGCCGTCTCCACGAGACCGTTAACACCCAGCAATAGATCTTCTAACTTCTTTCACCTCTCTAGATAGGGCATCCTAGCTGTGTTTCGCCCCTTCCATAAACAAGCCTTGTAAGTCTCCAGCCCTATGTCATACTTCCCCAGCCAGATGAATTGACCTAAGGGGGCTCATTTGATCTGTCTTAACGCTCTCCCCTACTGTCCTGGTATCGGCCCTGCTCGGAAAACCTCATTGCAAAATACAGATCCTGGCACTGGCCAGAGACTTGTGGAAGGGAGCAGGCTGTGAGGGATCAGTGGTGGAACTGTCCAGAGCAAGGAAGTTGTATCCAATTGGCCAGTGCATCTTATTCACATCTATTTGCTAATTGACAGAACTATTCATGAGGAGTGCTCATATGAGATAGGACAGCTGCTCAGGTAACTGCATCTAGAGACAGCTGTCCCTGCGTGCCAGCTGTGCTACATGCTGAGAATCCCTGATTCTGCCCAGGACCTCCTCCAAGGCAGGACCGGGGTTCCTGATAGGTGTTTATCCAAGCTGTTTGCAGAGTCCTCCAAGTCCCCCAACAATCTATTCCAGTGCTTTACCGTGAGAGCAATGCATATGATAGTTAATATAGACTAATCTAATAGCTAGCTTGACGTTTGTCAGCCTTCCCACTGATGTTCACTAGGATTGGATTGCTTTAGGAAAACCTTTAATCTGAGCATTTCATGATGTTTAACAAGGTGAGCAGAAGTTCACCTGTGAATTAAAGACTCTTTGAGTTAATGTAGCAACTAGAGAATCATGTCTAGAGGTTTGGATTTTACACTGCCTGTGTTGCCTGAAATGTTACTCAACAAATACTTAGTGTTTCATGTAACAGTCACGCAAATAATGAATTCATGTATTTCTATTAGATAGAGAAACTGGAAGCAGAAAACAGCCGTCTGCAACAGGAGCTACAGGATGCCCGGGACCAGAATGAGCTGCTGGAGTTCCGCAACCTGGAGCTGGAGGTGATGATCTTCTGCTTGCAGTAGAAATGGTAGCAGATGAAACCAGTGCACTCACACTGGACACCAACTTTGTTTACACCAACACTGTAATGATATAATAGAGCAACTAATCAGTGCAAGCAAGTTTATTTGTGGTTTGTGGGAGTATGTGGGCTCTAATGTCCTGGAAACAGTAAGCTCCATACTTGACTCATTTTGGTCCAAGCTAGATGCCTAGTAAGCGAAGCTAATCTTTGCTGATTAACTTTGGTGTGGCTGTGCTAAGTTATCACACTTGTAGGTATGTGTTTTTCTAACACTTCAGAGCAGCCTTTTGTCAGCATGCTTTGTTCTTATTGCTGGCTTGGAGAACAAATGTACGGTGCTGGCCAGAATCTATTAAAATTAATAGAAATTAATTGAATTGAAATGACCCAGCGAACAAGATTTAAACCCCATCCTCATGTACTTTGCTTAGGGCTGTATCCTAGGTGACATCCAAAATTGTTGCTGATGTCCAGTTGTGGTTTTTTTTGTTTGCTTGTGAGCTTGTTTATTTGCTCATGGAAATGAAGAATTGAATTAAAAGCTCACAAGCCAGAAGTGTATTTCAAGGTGAAATTTAATCTTCTGTGCTTGCCTGACTAACAAAAGGAATGTGAAATGACATCTTCAAATTTTTATTTTTCTGTGGTCTTTTAAAATGAGATAGGTAGGTTTTAGGCAGTGAAGGTATATAAACAGCTACGTTTATCAACTTCCTTGAACTTACTGCTTTCCATGATATGTAGAACATATGACATATGAGGATGAACAAGGATGTAATCCAAGTTTCCTTGTAATCTTAAGTAAAATACTTGCTCATAAAGGCAGTACTATCAGCAGTGTATAGTTTAACACGTTACTGAGCAAATCACTTTAAATGACGGTTTTAGCTGGATGACAGACAACTTGTAAACATACATAATTCATCAAATAAACGTGCTGTAAAATAATTAATTAGATTTTAGGATCTTATGCTACTTTGCACACTATTCTTAGCCTAGAGTCCTGCCATTAGATGTTACCAGCAGTTGTCAAATACTGATGTAATGCTTTTCTCCTACTGTGAGGAGACTAGGTTTGTGGAGCATGATATAAACAGTAGCTGTGGCATTTGCTGAGTTCTCGATGCATCTCATTCATTCTGATGTGCTCTCTGGTGTCTTTTCCATGAATATTCAGGAAAGAGAGAGACGGTCCCCACCATTTAATCTTCAAATTCACCCATTCTCAGACGGTGTGAGTGCTCTACAGATATACTGCATGAAGGAAGGGGTGAAGGTAAGCCAGTTTCATAAGGCAGGGCTTACTACAGGAGTGGTTGATGCTGTGTAATCACTTACATTAATCTCTGCAAATAACTCCAGTAAATTTTCAGATTTAATCAGTCTAATGAAACTTGTTTGACATGGAGTTGTAGTTTTCAATATGATTACAAAACCTGGTGCGGAAGCAATTGAAATCAGCGTCTGTTGCATTTCCATGTTTTATCTCAACATTTTTCATAGAAAGGACAAATAATGCAGACATAAAAATGTGTATGCCTTGCCTTTAGCTTATTTTCTATTTGCAGGATGTCAGCATCCCAGACCTCATAAAACAACTAGACATCCTAGGTGATAATGGGGTAAGTTAAGAGGGAGATATTTTCCCTTTACAAGCTACACTTTGTACAGAGGATAAGTGAAATCTGTAACTATGGTGACTATTTTCTAAGGTATTTGTTAAATCATGTAATATTGGAATTGTTCCTCCAGAGAACGTATATCTCTAACTTAAGCTTTTGTTGGGTTTCTATAATCAGAGGGTGTGTAATGAAGCAGCAGCTTTAACAGCTGGTTTAGTAGACTGGGAAGAATGCGTGTCCAGAGGCCAAATGATATCTGGAACCGGGCCTGACTGCAATCCAGGCACTCATTAAAGCTTGTGATGAATTAGTTTGGCAGCATAAGCCCACCTCATCTTCATCACGTCTAGGATTTCTCTGAAAAAAGTTTCATAAATAGGCAAGAAATACCACATGCTGTGTGGCTTTCTAAGCAGATATTGCCCACTTTAATCATCCTTGTGAAAGAGAACATCCTGTATCTGTGGTTAACATTAGATATGCTTTAAGAGTGCATCAGATATGCTTTAAGGTTAGCAAAACTACCCCAAAGGCAAATGGGTCTAACTTTAGATTTCTCCTAAGATGCAACAGTGTGAAAGCATAGTCCACAGCTTGCGAAGAAATAAAGCATTCTTCTTTCTTTTATGTTAGCAGACCCTGGATATTTTGATGTAGACCTAGTGTGTATAGAATGGATAATCTGTATCTGTGTAGGAAACTAGGACTAATATTTTTATTCCTTCTCTTCATAGAATTTAAGAAATGAGGAGCAAGTGGCCATAATTCAGGCTTCCACTGTATTGTCTTTGGCAGAAAAGGTAAAATGTGTGCTTGCTTTTTTCAAGTGTTATCTAATGACTAATCTAATGCTGTAAATTCTTAGCTCTGTTGTTGGAAATAATCAGACTTTCTAGTATAGGAGGCAATTTCTTGGAAAAAGAAAACCTTGCTAGCAGTATTTTATACTACTGTGTATCAACTAGAGATTTTGCAAGGATAGGACTACCTTAATGTAAATGTAATCACAGTCCCACACACCTTGCTGAAGTGGCAGAGATGTCAGATTTACCAGACACAAGCAATGTGGTCAGAATAGCTGGAAATGCAAAGTAAAATAAAACATTCAAGCCTACTTGCCTAGAAAACACAGCAGGTTACAGCTCTCATTCTCTTGCCTCCAGTGGATTCAGCAGATTGAGGGAGCTGAGGCTGCTCTGCACCAGAAGATGATGGAACTGGAAAGCGATATGGTAGGCGAACTTTCTTTGAAAGACTTCTTAGGAATTTGTCGCATTTACTTGATGTGCCACAAAATAATTAAAAACTGGTCTTTTGGCAAAACATGTACGGAGGCTTTCTGTGATTATTGGTGAATCCAAAGTTACTGTTTCATGTGCAAAAACAGAATAAGGGAAAGAGAAATAGTTAACGTTTGAGAACTTTTTATATTAAGATAACTGTTTATTAAAAAATACAAAGACTCAGATGGTGCTTGGTGATTTTCAGAGATGTAAGTGACCACACTCTGCCTTAACGTTAAACTTTAACAATTAAAGTTTAAAAATCAGTAGTTGTACTGCATTTTATTCTCTATTGATAAGTGGGAAATAATTTTCATGCTGTTTTACTTCATTGTGCTTTAAACCCATATAATCTTTAAGGTAAAACACTCACAGATAAACTTGCTACAGTACTTTCATACTACTCTTATTCTAGTTAGTGGAAGTCATTTAAAATTAGCCTAACAACATGAGTTGGCATGTCCATACTCAAGTTGATTAAGCTTAAGTTAGGCTGAGGACTTTAAACGCAGCATGGCCGTGAAAATGCCTGTTCAGTTCCTGTTTAGTTGATTGCACTCTCACACTTATTCCAAAATAAGAGAAACAACAAAAGGTGTTGTCCATGCCTCCAGAGCTGCTGTCTTCAGAAAAATTACGCAGAAAAACTGAAATGCTACTACTGAAATGCTAAGCAACACTGCTAAAATCAGCAAAGAGATTATAGGTTTAGTTTTATGTAGGATACGTACTATCATGAAAAGCATACACAGCTGTTTTTGTTCCTATTCTTCTAGCTGTGATAGCCAAATACCAATAACCCTGGTAGATCAGTCTTCTAGTCCTGCCAGTCAGATATCCGTTAATTTAATAAAACTTCCCAAAGCATTTTGAGTAACTAACTCATTTTTCTGTCCAAATGATCCTTTGTTGTAGGAACAATTTTGCAAAATAAAAGGTTATTTGGAGGAAGAGCTAGACTACAGGAAGCAAGCTCTTGACCAGGCATACATGGTATGTACAAAGGAAATGCTACAGCATACATTGGTTGGCACTGTAGTGCGACACATGCTCCAGCTGGATCAAGAAGAGAGGTTTTTGCTTTCCTCTTGGTATCTTTTATCTGACGTACTACCCATGCATCTGTGCTGCTTCAAAAGGGCGCCTAGGCTTTGCACATCATAAAAAGGCAGAGCTCCTGAAGTCCAAAACTGTTCTGTCATCTAAAGGCAGATGTTGGTCATTATCGTCAGCTTGTCCAAATGGAGCCAATGCAATCAACTAGAACTCAGATCTGGCATCTCAGATAGCCCATTTTGTGTATGCCATAGCAAGAAGATGATGTGCCACAAAGAGCAAGATTTACTGCTGTAAAACACTGCTGTACCGAATTCCAATATGTAGGTCTGGTAACCAGCCACATAAGTTCAGCATATTTGGTTTGTCAGTTAATGGCAATACTCATGACTAGCAGGGTTAAGAGCAAAAGTAGTTTAGCACTGACTTTCAGTCTGTCTTGTCTTGTTTTGAGACTTATTTCTAGTGCAGTGGGTCAGTTTTAGAATTGGTGAAATATTCATCTTTTTAATTGCAATTACAAAATACATATGAAAGTTCTGTCCAACTGCTGATCATCACTATAACCACTTAAAAAAAAAAGTCACTAAGAGATGTCAGTGAAAATTAATGTTAGAATACTATGCAAACAAAAGTGTGCTTTTTTTGGTTTAAGCACTGGCCCATTCTGTAAGTTCTGCTTGTCACACTTTTGCACGTTTGAGCACAGGGACCATCATGCGGGTGCCTGAATCTGCCACAACTCCCTGTCCTCACTTTAAACAAACAAAAAATATGTTCTGTCTCTGACTGACTTTTGGTATTGCATCGACCAGAGGATCCAGGAGCTTGAGGCCACCTTGTACAATGCTTTGCAGCAAGAAACGGTGATAAAGTTTGGAGAACTGCTCACTGAAAAACAGCAGGAAGAGCTCAGGACAGCAGTAGAAAAGCTAAGACGCCAGATGCTGAGGAAAAGCAGAGAATATGATTGCCAGATTCTTCAGGAGAGGATGGAGCTGCTCCAGCAGGCTCATCAGGTAAAAAGAAAAAAGCACGTGTATATCTATGCAGTTTTGCTGTGTAAGAATAAAAGCTGAGGCTCCAGGTCACCGGCGTCTAGATTCCTGAGTTGTTTTATACTGCATGTCTTTACTGTGCACATAAACCCTGAATATTAGCTTGTGGAGTGGTGTTTTGGAGTATTTTGAGTCTTAAAATTCTAAACCAAGCAGTTTTCATCCATAAAAATGACCACCCTAGTTATTGGACTTGTCTCAATAGGAACTGCATGAATTGTTCTGATGCATGCTGCATAGAAGATGTATCATTTTCCTGCCATTTCTGGGTTTCTCTTGTTACTGGCCATCTGTCATAGGCTCTGGCTAAGTAGAAAAAAGACACAAAGACTCAAAGTCTCATTTTTGTATTCTGTAACTCAACTCTATGGGATCATTCTTCCCATTGTGCTAAACTTTAAGTTGTATTACACAGTTCTTGTAGAAGTATCTACCTCTGCTAAAAACACACTGAGTATGAGTTCAGCACACCTAGCTCACCACAGAATTAGTGTTAGCCATAAACATTTAACATTTCACATCTGATAACATTTTAGTCCTCTTCTAATACATCATACTGTGAGAAATCTTAATTTTGATATATTTCTAACAGTATAATCACAACTGTACACTTTCCATATATTTACCATAGGTTTAATAAAATCAATGCTATGAAACATCCTCTGCTAATTTTCCAGTGTTTTGAGGATGCAGTAAAATACGCACAACATCATGTTTTGAGTTGTCGTACATGAGGTAAAGTCACTGTTAGGCAGGGCTAGTGGCTAGAATTCGTGCTGCTCCATAAGTTTATACCTGCCAGAGAAGTGAATTCATTAATTTCTGGGCTTTTATCACTTTGAATGTTTGGTTGCTTCCAGCCAAGCAAAGCTACTGAGTCTAGTTGCGTTCTTTTCTAATTTCCAGAGGATCCGAGATTTAGAAGATAAAACTGACATCCAAAAGAGACAAATTAAGGATCTGGAGGAAAAGGTTGGTTTTGTTTTGTTTCTGAAGCAGGCTCATTTTGAAAATAATGACCTAATTCTTTTGAACTACATGGATTTTTTTATACCTAAATCAGCTGTACATTTTAGTGCTTTTCTACTATGCCTTTTTTCCAGTTTTTGTCTTTTAGTATATTCTGACTTTAAGATTAAAGTCCCTTCCACAACAAACTATGTTTCATTTTAGGAAATAAATTCTGAATACTTTTTAATTATGGTGAATGATACTGGGCCAAATGTTGAAACATTTATTTGGTGGTGAGATGCTGTTTTGGTCTGCAAGTAGTACATCCATTAAGGCAGGGTGAAGGTAGAGAGCAGGAAGGAGCAAATGAAACTCAGTGAAGGTACAGAGATTGTCCTTTGGGAGCTCTGGTTATAATGCTGTCTTGTTTACTGAAGTTTGTGATTGATTATGCAATATGAATGCAGTACCAGAATCTTGCTCCTGACTGACCTGTCAAGTTGCCTATTCACATTCTCCCTATATATGCAAAGAATACACACAAATATGTACAGAGCTGTGCTGCTTTTTCCTTTGTCACATTAACTTGTCTTAGTTTTTGATAAGTTAGGTAGGATTGCTGAAGAAAGATCACTGTGAGCACACTATAATCTTACCACTGATGTATTTTCTAGAAATGCTATACTGATGTAAGATGCATCTCCACTGAGAGCTTTGCCCATTACTAATGCATATCAAAGTACATACATAAGCTATAATAATGGCTACATCAATACAATGACTGTAGTGCCAATGAGCCCCCCCAGTTTGTATGTATGTTCCTGAAGTGAAACAAATGAGTTCAATGTAAAACTTGATATACATAATTCCTTCCACTTTTCTGTCAATATTTGCATGACACAAGAACTCAGTGTCTTTCTTTCCTGAATATACAACATGGAAATAGATCATAATCTGTAATGAAAATCAAAACAAAAATAAAACTTATGCAGTGGTCATATGGAGACCTTGAGTATGAGACTTTTTAGTGTCAATATTCCACAGAATTTTTTATTCATAAATATTCACATTCCAGGAGATCATTCATGATTAAAATGACACATCCAATTTTTTCAAGCTATAATGGTTAGGTTTTGATATTGTATAACAGTGTGTATACTTACAGTTGCAGGTTATTTCCAGCATAAATGGCAGGCACTGTTTTTTAAACCTACTTTAAAATACTACCCATGCTAGTTTCGATGTCCAGCTTTGTCTTCCATCATCCCACAGTGGCTTACAGTGACAGCTATATCTTAGGCTTTCAATATGGTGCAAATTCTAGTTTGCCAACAAAATAAATCACATCTGTTTGTAATGTGACACTTTGAGATGTAACTACAGAAATACAGTGTATTCTGAACATAGAATTACTTTACTTGTCCTTCAGAGTGCAAAAAGAACTAATCCTGGTGCTAACAATGCCATGACTACTTATTTTTATGCTGTCTTTTTCTTCTGCAGTTTCTATTTCTATTCTTGTTCTTCTCTCTTGCCTTTATTCTTTGGCCTTGATGTCAATGTGCCTCTTGAAAAGGTAAGACTACATTATTTTTCTCCTCAAAGCTAGTACTTCTTGCACAGTGCTGAGGATCAGACTGTTGTGTGTTCCTGTGCACGTCCAGAGTCAGGGGATCTGGAAAGTCATTGTCAATTTGTAATAGTTCATTGTGGAGAGTGATCACACTGCTGATTTAACAGATGGCACTGCAGCCAGACCAACACTGTCCAACATTCTTGTAAATGAACTGACACAGCTTGCTAATTATACTATGCCATTTGTAATTGCAAAAACTAAAGCCAACAGGAATTTCATAATATCAAATAATCAAGAGAATAGCAGGTAAAATTCACTGTGCCATCTAAGTTTCTGGTTCTTAGAACTACCAAGATGAATACCAGTAGGGTGATCTTTGCAAAACTGCTTGACTGCACTGGATGCGTGCTGACTTTATTAACGTTACAAGGGACTTCAAACAGATTTATAACAAAACAACAAGAAAAACCCACAGCACCTCACTGAAATAGACCTAGGGAACCATTTGATAATGAGAAAACTTTGGTTTTGTTAGAGCCCTGCTCCAGTTTATCCTTTAACAGTTTTTCAACTGTTAGAGCAAACTGATACAATTGCAGATGATTCTTTCTGGTTTCTTTTTCTGACAGGATTAGCACAGCTCATTGCTGTACTTTTGAGATTAGGATGGACAAGCATTTGAAACAAGCTCAGAATGCAGTGTGTGTGAATGAAGCCATATGCAGCACTATTTAGCATCCAGATTAGAATTCTCTAGCTCCTTCAGGGAGTTTACTATCTGCATTTTTTTTTTTTGTGCTTGTGTATATACATATTCACTTGTGATTGCATAAGGAAGTCTGGTCTGCATCAGTTTCATACTTAGTGAGTTTTACCATGTGGATTTTAACGCTGAGGAAGCAAAGAAAAACTAAGCTATTTTTCTCCCACATTTCAAATCTGAAACCCAGAACTCTTCTCCATATATAGGAAAGATTTCCTTGAATCAGAAGTAGGCTGCATTTGACTCTGAATCAGCCAAAGTCCTAGACTTGTAGTGAAACCACGAACATATCACCTGCTGCCTAAAATTTACCAGATACGACAACTTTGTCAGTGCCAGTAACTCTTATAACCAGTTTTCCATGGACTGATGTGTAACTAATTGCCTGAGGGTACCTGTGGGGACTTCTGTTGACCAGAAGGCTGTACTCTGTAGTGTCCAATAGATGGGGAGCAGAAACAGCCTGTCCAGTTAGCTGGCAATGTAAGAAAAAATCCTTTCAGCTTTCTGATAGGTTGTCAGCTGGATAGGTAGGCAGAGAACGTACCACTATCTGATACAGATGTTCTTCTTTTTCTTGTACTTCTAGAGCACCCGACCACACAGATTTGTCCCTAGAAAAGCAAATGCTTCCAACCTCCCCAATGAAGAGAACCTTGTTTACATCTATTTAAAAAAAAAAAATACAAATGAACAACCTGTAGCCAAGACCATAACCACCTTGTATTTTAAAGCCATCACTCAAGATTCATTAATGGACAGTTCCTGTCTAAAGCTATGATATATGCTGCATCTAATGAAGTTCTATATGTTGAAATTACAAAAGGGGAAGAAATATAAACTGTCAACCTACATTGCTAAAGAAAAACTTAAAGGGAATCAGCAAGGCTCCACTTCCAGCTGACTGAGTCAGAGTGTGTCTTGGGCATGGAACCAAAGTTACAACAGAAAAATCTATCCCTGCTGTGCAGGGCAGTTGTTTAAATGTGACACTGTCATCCCACAAACAGATCAAAAATAAGAGGAAAGAGTAGGAGAAACACTTAGGATGTGCAGAGAGGTACTGACCATAAAGTGTTCTGTTTGAACCATTGGACTTTCTCACTGCAGGGGGACTCTTTCTCTCTCCCTTTGGTTTTCACCTCAGGAACAGTGACAGCTGCAATGTGGGGGCAAAAAAAAAGGAGAAATGTATTCTGGCTTATTGCACTGTGGGCAGGACAAGACACCGTGTTTTGTATTTGAGGTCATTATAAGGCACTATTCTACATGGCAGAGGAAGGGAAGAATCAGATGTGAGACATAAGGAATGTTTCTGGCAGAGTTGTAGCCTTATCTCTTCATACTCCATGCATGAAGAAAAGCCTGTCCCTTGTCAGATACTTCTCAGACTTCCATATTTGTTTTCACTAAAAGAATAATGTACTGACAAGCACTGGATTGAACTTACAGCGTGGCTTCTGAGGAAGAAAAAGATGTGTTCAAGGGGAAAGGAAAGAAAGCAGTCCCCAGTGTCTACGTTATATGATCCACAAAGCATCAGCTTTTAGACATTCTGTTCCTACTGAGCATAAGAAACCTTTATAAATGTTTTGGTTTGGCTTGTCAAACTGATTTTGTTAGCTGGCTTCTTGACCAAGAACGCGTTTACCAAATAGTGGGGAAAGCCATGTGAAAACATCTTTACTAAAAAACATCTTTACTAAATATGAAGAGTAGTGTCATTAGTCTGTTTAGATTTTTCCATAATTAAGAATAACTAGAAGTCATTTCCATTTCAAAGCATTATGTATCTCTTTCATGACCAAGTCTGGAACCCAGTCCTGCTGTCTCCCTAAGGCAAGCAGGCATGCCATCACAGCTGCATGTCCCTTTAGTTGGTAAAAAGCAAACCCCAAGGAGAGCTGGCACCTGCAACAAACCCTGCCAAGCTTCTGTGTCTGTTGGATGCACCTTTGCTTCCATCTTTCCTTTCCTCATGGTGTTCTGTATGAGCTAGGCATGGCAATGCACTTCTCTGCCTCTCTTTTTATTTCCTGGAAACAGAGTCTTGCCTGTGCAGACTTCAGGTTCCTGTGGCAAAGCTTATTTGAGCTGTCTCTTCCACAGTGGAGCCTTAATTTCAGCTGGGAAAAAAAAGGATTTCCATATAACAGTGTAGAAGATGGTCTGTGCATTACTTAAACCTTCAAAAGAGGGCTCACACATTCCAAATTTTATGCACACGGACTCTGCATACTAGAAGCTTTAAAAGTGCTTTACAAAGAGTCTTGCCTTTGTTTGCTTGTTCATTTTCACAGATGAAGCAACTGAGGCACAAAGCAGTGAAGTAACTTTGTACAGCAACTCAGGAGGGCAAAAGCTATTCCCTGGCCATAGCAGGAACAAAGTTTAGCTAGTGCAGAGGATGCCTGCCCCTCAGATGTTTTGGAGTTGAAATAGCTTCTACTCATTAAGCCCAACACTGGGCTCTGTTTGTCCAGAGACTGAGAAGATCCTCGTTTCATGCATGTCTGGAAGTTCTGCTGAGCCCTCCATTAAAGGTTAGCAGCTACTAGCAAGTTTCTGCTCCTTCAAATTAATTTAAATTGCAAAATGAATGGAGCTGTGTGAAGTAGTCTGTTTTAGTCAAGGGGTTTACTGAATTCTGCACTAGCTATATGTTTGTTGGCCCCATTTTACTTTATTTTTTTTTAACAGACTTGTAGGCGGGTATGTTACATGAATGCTGGTATGTTTGCATGCTCTGTGTTGCAGAAGAATCTGTGGATAAGGTTGGCCCAAACCTATCACCTGTGCTTTCCAAGGGTGCTGCTGCCAATTCAGTCATGAAGCTTTGGAGTCAGGCCCTTTGAGAGCCTCCTCCACACCTGTGACACATTGGGATCACTTCACAATTTCTTGTTAACTGCAAGAAGTTTTTTTTTCCTGTCTGGTATTCCTTCTTCCCCTTTCCACTGTTCTTTCTCCCTTGCTGGAGCACAAGTTTGTTCTGTACTTGGCTGCAGTAGTATGTAGGAAGTAAATGCAGCCTGCAAACTTTTCTTAGACGTTATAATGCCAGGCTCATCTTTAAGAAGCATGAGCACAGCATGTGTTTTCCATGGTGGTGCAATAACTTCCATCTCTGCTTTGGTTTAAAAAAAAAAAATGAATACTGGAAATGTTTGTTACAGACAATCGCAGAGCAGAAGCATAGCACAGATAACATTATCTGGTTTTAGAACATACCTCGCTGATTTTGTGACAGGCTTCATAATTTAGGCCCTCTGAGCTGCGCTGTGCACATCTTGTGCTCATTTCTCTTGCCTGATTTCCCCTCCCTTACTCTTTCTTATTACATATGCATGCAGGTGCTGTATTTCCAAGGGCTTAGGGAGGGTGGGAGGTGGCAGAGCATCCACAGGTTACTGTGGTGTGACGTGTAAATGGTTGCAAACTTTAGAAAGATTGCTAAAGTCCCTCCAGAGAACTGAACAACAGCTGCTTTATTATTCTTGCAGCATTACATGAGCCATGCCTAAAACACACTTGTTGGTAAAATACAAGCTTACTCCTCTCAGCCTGACAAAAATGAGTTTGACACAAAATGTTTGGCTATATATATGTGTATCTATATTATATAGATACATACATATACATATATATGCACATCTATCTGTCTGGTCACTACTGTATATAGGAAATCATTGCTATAGCTTATGAAAGTGTATTTCCAATCTAGGTATGGGGAATTCAATCTAGACTTGTTTAGCTACAGCAACTGGTACACTCATGGTTTAGTTTTACATCTTATGTGCAACTTCTTTGTGGTTCTGTTTTTCCTTACTTTGCTTTCTCTTTTTTTCTTTTTCCCTCCACCATTCTTTGTCCTGAAGCTGTCATCCAAGGCTTTCTGTTTTTCCCGATGTTCTCTGAGGCAAGGTATTGAGAGTCCTCTCAAATGAGTCTCTGCAGCCCCTCCCTTAAATCAGCCAGCAAACCCACAGCAATTTATTTCAGTCCTTGAGGACTGTAAACATAGCCCTGATTCCTCCTGTCTGTACTAGAGCAGGACCACAGCACTCCACTACTTCCAAACCAGCACAGCAGTAGATGAGGCACATACATAATGAAAGTTAGCTGAACAAAAATCAAACTTGCCACTTTTTCTCCCCTTCCTCCACCAAATCAGGAGAGTTCAAAGACACTTATTTCAATTCAAGCACTTCAGACAAAGACGTAATTGGTGAGATGAATTTAGGCAGTTTGGTTTGAGAAAGAAATAGGGCTTCTTGCAGTATTACCAGCCTGGCTCACAGCTGTATTCTCACTGGCATGCCTGGAGACCCATGTAAATTTTATTTTATTTTGTTTTTTTTTGCACACACAGTCCATTTTCCAACTCCCTGCTGTCATCTCAGTGGGGAATATCCTCTGAAACTCCAAAGCTTTCAGTTTCCTGGCACTCCGTGAGGACTGGATAGGCCAGGCTTCTCAGTAGGGTGAGGTTCAATGAACAGCCATACAGTGGCTGGTGACTGAAAGTTTTTTTTACTTGTTTATTTTTCCTTGCCCTCTTTCACATCAGTACCTGTTTTTAGATATAATTTTGTTCCTTTTTTTTTGGTGTTTACTCCAGAACAGAAGTGTTAACGATTTGGCAGAATGACCCTTTGATAAACACTGGACACGTATCTGTATTATATGTATTAATGTGTAGAAGAGAATCCTTACTGTATGTAAAGTTTTATGAATGGTTATTTTTTAATTTATGTATTTAATATAGGATTCAATGACCTCTGGTGTTTTAGTTTGTATAAAGAAAAAATAAAACAGCAGCATTTTTTAAAAAAAAATCTCACTCTACATTCACAGCGATGTTTAGTGTCCGTCTGGAATCTGTTTGGTGGTGCGGGTGGCAGAGCCCCAGTCCAGCTGCTGAGAGCTGGGGGAGTCTTCTCCTCTGCAGGTATCCAAACCCTCCGGCCGCCTTCCTGTGCAGCCTGCTTGTGGGGCTGGGCTGGGGCAGCCCTGGAGGTCCCTTACAACCCCTGTGGCTCTGTGACTGCGTCAAGTTAAGGCTGAACGACTAAGACGTGCAGAATGCACCTTCCTGGCCTGCTGTGCTCCGGCGCGCTGCTTACAGCCTGCAGGGCGACTGGCGGGGCCCGGGGCTGTCGGAGCTGGGAGCGCAGGTGCAGGGAGAGCCGCCGCGGATGTGCTGCGCTGGTTGGTTGGTGGGAGGAGGGCAGGCAGCTCTCCCAGCTTGGTCCCGTCTCTGCGTTACTGGCTTTGTGCTACGCCCGTGTACTGAGGAAAAAAAAAAAGAGCAGATGCTGCCTGTTCCGTGCAGCTCAGGTAGATGGGGCGCCCTTACCGGGCTCTGCCTCGCTTTGGGAAAAAGACATCAGAATTTATTTTACAAACTCTTCACGCCAACGCTCTGAGCTGCTGAGAGCTGACTTCCTACGCCAGCCTGTGAAAAAGAACGGCGCTCAGCTAACTGCCGCAGGGAGGCCGCGCGGTACGCAGGTGATGCGCAGCCCCGGCGGTCGGAACGGCGGAACGCCGTGCTGCGCGCGGCGTTGTGGCAGAGCCGTAACCGCCGGCTGCCCCGCCTCTCTCTCAGAGAGCCGCCGGCCGGCAGGGGGCGCTGCCGCCCTCTGCGTCGCCGTCCCCGCCCGCTCCCCGGACCCGCGATGCGCGCGCCGTGCGCTCTGGGCGGGACGGGCAGCGCCGGGCCGTTGGGGCGGTTGTGGCGCGAGGTCCGTTTGAGCGCGGAGAACTGCGGCATTGAGGCCGGAGAACGGGGGGGCTTCGTGCAGGTGGACGCAAATGGCGCTGGAAGGCAAGCTGCCATACCGTGCGAACAAACCGTGTGGGAAGAAGACTGAGCTGATTGCGGGTTGAAAAAAATAAAGATGCAACGAAAATGATGGAGAACAAGTTGTCGTTTTGCCAGGCTTCACCCTCCTGAGGTGCCAATGTTTTCCGCTGCCATTCTGGTACACCACATACATTTAACTTTCCAGGTCACGCTTCTTAAAGGGCTTTAGGCTATTCAGAAATACAGCAGGCGGCCACACAGACCTCACTGTGGCTCCGCGCACAGAAGAGAAAGAAGTTTCCGTTCCAGTTGCGCCACGCAGCCGCGCCGTGCGCGTCGTGCCGCCTTTCGTCCTTAGGTAAAGCAGCCGTCGGCGGGCGAGGAACCGCGCCGTCGGCTGCGGCTTTGGGGCAGCGCGGCCATCGCTCAGCGCTTCGAGTGCAGCAGCGGCGCCTTGGGGGCTTCTGTCTTCTCTGCACCGTTTGCAGAGCAGCAGTGTCCGATTGCGTGGGACTGTCTGAACAACCGAAACCCTCCCGGCTGGAACCGTGTCACTGCTCTGCTGAGGGGGCTCAGTTTCTGAACACGGCAGAAAAATACACTCCAGAGCCCCATCCGCGCTCGGACAGAGGCTCGTGCAGTGGCTGCCGCAGCGCGCGGCCACCGAGTGACAGCCACTCACACACACAGCTGCTCTGCGCAACAAAGGAAATCCTGCAGAAAAACGTTCAAGCCTGAAGCAGGCCTGAGACCAGACATACAATGATTCCAGTGTGCACAACAGATGGAGACTTCAGAATATGGAGCCACTAATCTATGGATTACAGAGTCCCTAATTACAGACTGACACTTACCATTTCTGAGTGGAAGTGCCAGCCCAGGGAGGAATCTTGCAAATCAGCATTCAGCAACAGAATGCAGTGTTAGGGACAGCTAGGGAAGGAATCAGACGTTGTCATCGTGCCACCACGTCAACCTTTCACATGTTTGTGCCTCTGAATGCTGCATGGAGTTCTGTGCCACTGGAGATGCTGAAAACAAGGACAGCAGAGCTGGGAAAGGTCCCGAAAAATCTGCATGTGTGATCAAAGGCATGGCCTGCAGCTGTACCCAGCCCTAAGTGACAGATACCTCCTCAAGAGTCAGACATAAATCATGCACGCGTTTCTCAATACAAACAGGTCAGCATGTAAGAACAGATAACAAACTGAGTTCTTCACCATCTCCAATCTCTTAACCACCTGATAGTAGCAGGGATTAAAAAAAGCTTTAGCACATATGAAATTGAGCAGTGCTTAAAGTCCAGAAGTCCTAACTGAGATGCAGCCACCCATCCTGCCTCTCATTGTATTCAGGTTAACAAAAACTCAGTTGTTTACTTCTGGCCTTATCCTACAGCAATCTACGTGGTAAAATGGAGAAATTATCTGAACTTCATCGCCATCACTAAACTGGACTCCTGCCCTAGCCTGCACCCTAATGTGTGTCCTGAATTCCTTGACTGCCTCAGAAACAGGAAAAAACACTCACCAGTCAAGCATGGGCTCACATCAGTATTCAAGCCACAAGAGCATATGAGGAGCAGGAAATTCAGGCGATTCAACTTTCTGGTACACTGTCTGTACTCATGCCTTAAGGACATCTGCTATCCACAAGCATAAATGCAAGGCAATTGCAGAGATTAATAACATAAACCTGGGGTCTGGAGAGATGCAGTCATCAAATTAGCTTTTCAGTTCTTCCAGTCAGAAATGCTGATTTAACAATAAGCCTGACATGATTACCAATAGTGTCTCTAGGCTGGTGGGATGCCAGTCATTGCACTCCAGCCCCTGCAGCAAATCCTCTGCTCCTGGGTCCTTGCAAAGCTGAATCCTGCCTGTGTTGCATCTCTGATGCCATTAACTCCCCAGCTCACACAAGCTAAGAGCAGGGCAATGCCTGCAGCTTCTGTTTGGCCACAGGCACACCTCCAACATCTCTGGGCTTCCTGCCTGTGTCACAGAGGTCCTCCAGCACCTCAGCTCAGCCCCAGCCATGCTGGCAGTGCTGTGCCTGTGGGCACAGGAAGGTTGTGCTCTGATTTGTGTTCTCCATTGCCATTCTGCTTCCCATAGGATATAGCTGTCTTAGCGATAGTCTTTCTGGTGTTGGTTCAGCTACACCTGGACTGAAAAGTTTTCATGGGGTCTGGCCGTCAACACCGAAATGTTTTGGAGTGTGCACTATCCAGAAAACTGACACTGTGTGGGCAGTGAAACTCCACAGGGGGTTAATGTATTTGCTGGAATGCCATAATGTATTTAACAGCAATAATATTATCAATAGTTAGAATAATAATTATTATTTTGGAGCAAAGTAATTCTGCATTGGAAAAAAAATGGACTATTTTCAAAATGGAGAAGAGGTGATTCCTACACATAGAATTCATTAACGGTTTACTAGGAAAACTATGATCAGTATAATATTTGGTTTAGATTTAAGGTTGGGAATAATGAAATTGTAATCTTGTTGCTTACATTAATGCAGATCTCATCCTGACTGATAATACACAGAGTTACCATCTGGCCATTGTACGTAGGTACCATATTCTCCCCTTTCTACAGAGGGCAGAATGATTTATATACACTGTGTTTCCTGGGTGCGTTTCCCACAGGTGGACGTCTGTGTTGTTCAGTACATCTGTGAGCATCTTCATCAAATAATCCTAACCCGGAGCTTGCTTGTTAAACATCTCCAGACAATTGAAATTGGACCTGCATAGTAATTACAAATTCTACTACAGCTATGTCTGTTTGTCTATGTGTTCCTCTAGATGGGAACGTGCATAGCAAACCAGAAGAAAGTTTGTATTTCAAACTGTGTTTTGTTTTACTTCACAGTTCACAGATGACAATTCAAGTAGATATTTTCTCTAAAATGAAAAATAGTTTTAGGTGAAAGTCTTAGGCAATTCAGGTGTATAATTTTCTGTACTAACACATATCAGTATTAATTAGTTAATATTAATACACAGTCTCCTCAATATTTGAGGAGGGCAAACACAAAAGAACACGTATATAAAAAGCAAGACATGATGAACTAGGAGGCCTATTTAAGTATTAAATTGAATATATTACAGCATTTGCCTGGCTGTATGAAATGAACTTTTGAGGTCCACTAACTCATCTGCTGAAGTGAAGGTCAGCAGTCATGAATTCTCTAAGAGTACAGCTGTAGCAGAAGTGCTAAGTCAGAGCTTGAAGCAGTGATGGAGCCCCTGGTGGGAAGACAGGGCCAACTCAGGGGAGCTCAGCTGTATGCAATGTTCCGAGTGATGGAAGGGCTGGAGCCAGGATCCATTCCTGCCCAGACCTCATTTAAGGGCTGGCAGTGGAGGGAAGGGCATCTTGCTGGAGATCCCTGCATATCTGAAGCCTTCCAAAGGTAAGCAAAGTTTCTTCTTACGTTGTTGTGATTGTAGCTGCTGTATTTGGGCTCGTCCTCTTTTGCTGTAGCCAGAGACTGTCACCCTGCTATTATTGCTGTGCTTTCCATCACATTATAGCATTACAGCAGTGTTTGTGGTTTCTGTGGCCCTGTGCGACTGAATAACTGACTGTGGGTTATTGCATGCTGTAACTACTGAGGTTAAGCTGGGGCTTTGTAAGTGAATCTCACCCTGCTCTGAAGATGGTGTTTTCTCTCTGTAAAGGGTACCTGGAGCTCTTGTGAGAAGTCTAACCCAAAAAACCAAGCTAGTATGTGTACTTATTATCCTCTGATCTGCAGAGGACGTGGGGGGAACGAATACTTATAAAATGAGGTGACTTGCAAAAGGAATCTGGAGATTCAAAAAAATTGCATAGCTTCATCTGGTTTCCTTTAGATGCGTAAAACAGAGTTGCTGAATTACTGCATTCTTGTTTGATGTGTAACATGAAATCATATTATTAAGCCCCCAGACACAGCTGTCTGTTCACCACACCCTGAGCAGCGCTTCACCACTGTCCTGGGCAGGAGGGCAGAGCGCACGGCGACCCAGGGCAGTGAACCTGCAGGCTGTGCGCTGAAAGGCCCAGGGGGGTAAGAGAGAGTGGGATGTGGCAGCGAGCAGCAGGCAGAGGGGACAGAGTGAGGAGGTTTCAGCAGGAGCTCAAGCAGGAGATAACTGTTCTGGCACTTACCGACAGGCGTATGCAGAAATACTTCCCAGGACAAATGTATTATCTGGTAATTAACCTCCCCTTAGGCCCATCTGAAGCCAAACGTGTAATGCCAGCTTGGTTTCCTAACAATTCTCTAAACATAGAGCTCAACTTGTACCATAAAGAAATGTGACATAGCGAACACTGAAAGTAGTGAAATCAAAGCCTTTCCTGTTTAGAAGAAACAAAGAGCAATTAAAGGGAGCAGTCTCGCCATGGAATGGTTTGGGCCAGGCCTCCAGTTAGGGACGCTGGGAGCTCTCCTCATTCTCACATTTTCCCAGTCTACATGCATTAGCTTCCATCTCTGTACAGCTGACACTTCAGTCAGACAGCAGCGAAGAGAGCGAGCTCATGGTGGACACAACACTCCTTCCTGCAGTCAGCCACGCAGAGATGATCTGACTGCCCCAGAACACCTTTAAACTGCGAACGTGCAGCTTGATGTGCACCCACAAAGGACATCTGTTCCAGAGAAAGTTGCCTTGTGTGGAGGACTTGCAGTGCTTTGCAGGAACCAGTGTAGTTCTGATAGGATTCAGTTCTGTATCCAGGATCTATTCCCAAAG